GCCTTCAACCAAAACTGGATGCCTCTCAATGTCCTCCGTCCTCTCCCAGAGGTCTCAGGGCTTGCTTAGTCCCTGGGATTGGCGTGTCCCCACCACCAGCCTTGTGAAGAACCTCGCTATACTGGATGCCTGACCTGTGTGTCAACATCCAAGCTAGTTGGTTTCAGGAGTGATTAGGAACCATCTTTCTTTTTTCTGCTTTCCTTTTCTAGTTCTTCTTAGGGTGTTCATCTGACAACACTGGCGGTTTACACACATTTGTGGGTACTCCCGGTGGCAGCTGATTTTTTTTTTTAATTAGAGGAGAGGGAAGGCACATTCCTTTTACTTAGAGGGACTTAACGTTGACATCTCTGAGTTCTTGCCACGTACCACGTCTCACTGTCATCCTCCAGGAAGCCCACCATATATGACAGATAAAGATCTTCATCGCTGGAAATGCAAAAATGGGAGCTCAGATTGGAATCCTGCCTAAGCCCTAATTTGCTCTGAGCCTTGGTTTCCTTACTCCTTAGTTACTGGATGCTGTTATAACTGAGTCAGATGGTGTGTGAAACGACATGGCCAAGTAGCAGATGACTGTCAGGAACTCTGAGATTTTCCCCTGCTGGCAAGCTCACAAGTCAGCCTCCCCTAGTTTACTGGACACTGACAAAAGACAGGAGACTTCTGGGTCAGAGTCAAAGGATGTTATCACCCGTGGTTCACAGGCAGCAGGAACTTCATGTGTGCATCTCTTCTCTTCCCTTCGAAGTCCCTTGCGACTGACAAGGAGTGGGCCAGCTGGATTTGCATCACAAATAGTAGGGAAACTCCCAGATTAGGGAACTCAAGTCGATACTGTCCTTGACTGAACAGTATACAAACCTGCCCTTTGCTTTTCGGAAACCTGAATCTTTAATAATGGGTTGCAAGTAAATCTGTCTTCTTTTCTACTGGGAGATACTCTCTCACTCTTGCAAGGCTGTTTGTTATACAAACATCCTTGACAGGCTGGTCTGAAACAAGAGCTGTCAGTGCCTTTGCTGGCAAAATATGTAGAAACACAAGAGACTTAAAAGATGACTTGTCTCCCCCAAATAACTTTTTATTTAGTGTTTGTTGAGATTTTACTATAGACCATACATTACACTAGGTGATGGGGACGCTTCAGTGGACGGGACACTCGTGTCCCTGCCCTCCTGGAGTGTTGATCGTGACACAATATTCACAATCAGCATGAAGATTCAGAATCTGTGCCTTGGTATCAGAGTGCTTATGAGAATAGTGGGACAGGATATTTGAAATTGGGACTTCATGAAAAGTTCCAGTACATAGTCCCTACATGCACTAGTCCAGTCTAGTGTTATTTGCTCAGTCGTGTCCAACTCTTTGTGACCCCAGAGACTGTAACCCGCCAGGCTTTTTTGTCCATGGGATTCTCCAGGCAAGAATACTGGAGTGGTTGCCATTCCGTTCTTCAGGAGATCTTCCTGACTCAGGGACTGAATCCGGGTCTCCTGCATTGCAAGCAGTTTCTTTACTGTCTGAGCCTTCAAGGAAGCCCCAGGAGATGATTAATAAATGTCAGCATATATTGTCTGGCTGATTTGGTCCTTAATTAATTTTAGATGGAAAAGCCTCAGATTCTATGGAGATGTTTATGTGAACTCATCTTTTAGGTCATGTCTCACAGTGGCAGAGAGAAGCCAAAGAGGCCTGGAGCCAGACAGATGGACAGGCACCTTGGTTCTGCTTTGCCCTGCTCATGTGACCTTGCTCGTAGCATCTGATATCTCCAAACATCTGTGTACTCAGAGCACCTGTCCTGTTACAGCAGGACAGAAGGTGGCAGGTGCTACTGGTTCTGCGCCTTCAACAGTCATTATTTTAACCTTCAGATGAGTGGATTCTAAGAGTCTGAGGCCTTTTAAGCCAAAATGGTCAGTTTTACAACAGGCGTAGAGAGGATTGTCAGGGCTTCTGCGGTGGCTCAGACGGTAAAGAATCTGCCCGCAATGCGGGAGATCTGGGGTTCAGTCCTTGGGTCAGGAAGATCCCCTGGAGAAGGAAATGGCAACCCACTCCAGTACTCTTGCCTGGAGAATTCCATGGACAGAGGAGCCTGGCAGTGCTACAGTTCATAGGATCATAAAGAGCTGGAAAGAACCAAGTGAGTGCCACTGCTAGAGAGCATTGTCAGGGCAAAGAGGCTGAGGAGATACCCAAGCAAAGAGGAAAGATGGAGAAGCTCAGGGCTGGCCCCAGAGCTGACCGCTGGAGCCCCTAGACAGTTCCCAGGAAGCCAGAGACATTCATTCTGAAGGCATCCCAAGCATAAACGTGATCCTAAAATAGGTTCTGTGTTTTCTCCACCGTCAAATGGGGATAATCGCCTGAAAATTTGGCATGAGGGCGGATCAGAGTTAGTCATTACAAGTGTCTGTTTTGCAGTGGCTTTTCTGGAATTGTTCTTTGTGTCTTTTGGTTTTCTATTTCTTCGGATGACAAAAGGCATGCTTGTCCATCTTATAGCAAACCAGGGTCTGACCTCACTGACTTGTTGACTTGGAGGCTGTTCTGGAAAGGTTCCATTGTCTGTCCTGTCCCTCCGCACAGGATGCAGCAGGCTCAGGTGACAGGCTGTGAACACAGGCTCCACGTTGGCGGAGCAAAGCGGGACTCTGCTGGATGCTGCAGTAGTGGACGCTGATGTGTTTTAAACCTAATTAGTGGATTTGCCTTTTCTGTTTCTCTTCCCCCAGGATCCGTGTGAAGTGAATTGACCCCATGTGTTTACTTTGTAGCATGACAAGGATTTGGAATTGTGTTAAGGGAGGAAGGAATTCAAGTGCCTGGGAGGTCATTGAGGTCAGCAGAAAAAATCTTTTCAAAAGTGCCCTTTAATGAGCTGAATGGGAGGAATACAAACAAACCACCCACTGCCACCGCCTCTCCTGCCCTGATAATATTGTTTCCTGCAAACAATACACTGCTAATATCCATAGGGGATTTTAGGATGTCACGTTTTCTTCCTCAGACTTCCATTATTGGATGCTGGTCATCCATCATGTGAGAATTGGTCCGTGTCACCTCTTCTAAAGGGGAGAAATGAGCTTCAGCTCCTACCTGCCTGGGGTGGACCAGAAACCTTGGGATGGCTCATTGAAGAGGGGGTGCCCGCTGGTCTGTGCAGGGTGCATGTTTGCGGAGCCAGGACTGTGTAAGGGGCAGAGGGGTCGGGGGAGGGACATGCTGTTGGTCTCTCCTGGAGACCTGCCTTTTCCTTCTCTCTCTCGAGTGGCAGGTGGGAGGAGGCTGGGTTTACACTCAGAAAGGAAAGGACTCAACTTTGTCCATGTCACCATGATCTGTTTCAGGATGACTTAGTGATTTTCCAAATAAATAGAGATGAGTGTTGGGAGGAAGTAGCAGAGACGGAGAATTTGAAGGTAGAGCTTAGCGTGAGGAGCCGCAGGTTTGCAGAGATCAGACCACCTGGGTGCCTTCTAAGCTCCATCCTGCGCCAGGTGAGAGGAACCCGGGCTCCTCCCTTGGTGCCTGGAGGTCAGGTGGCTCTCCTGATGGCTGCTGCCAGCTGCATCTGGGAGAGAAACGAGCTGCAGTCCTTGCCTGGGAGCCTCTTGCCTCTGTTTTCTCCAGCATCGTGGCTGGCAGCATTCTGGAAAGGAAGAGACACGCAGGTGAGGAGCATGTGGTTGAAACGATCAGTCAACGTGGCATCTGTTTCCTAGGCTCTGACTGGGCGCCAGGTGGTGCCGCCAGGCAGGTGCTGTACCAGGAAAGCCCAGCCTGCTGTGGTTCAGCTTGGGCCAGAGGGGCACCTCATGTGACACCTGTGATCGCACACACGGCTACAAAGGAGGGGAATGTGGTACCAGAGCCCAGAGAGATGTGACTGAGTTTAAGGGGGAAACGGAGCTGCTCTGAGCGGCTGGTGGCCTTTAAGCTGAGACTCAAGAGGCAGATAGGAAGTGGCCAAAGGCTAGGGGTGAGAGGGTGGAGAGCAGCCAGAGGCTCCTTAAATGGTAGCTAATTATCACCACAAGGTCACTTACACTTGGCTTATTTTAAGCTAGGCAATATAAAATTATCTCCTAATTTAAAGTGAATCCACTTCACACAGTAATCATATAATTTCTTGCAATATTGATGTTTACAGGCGACCTGCCTCTCTGGCTGTGAACTTTGTGAGGGGCAGGCCTGGGTCTGTTCCATTCAGGGTCCAGGTCCCAGCCCCACCCCCGTCCATGAGTACTGAGTTGTGAGTGCCTGTGACAGGGGCTTGTGCTGGGCACCCACACACATTCCCAGTGCTCATTCACGATGGCCTTGTGGCGGGGAGGGGGCTTGGTCACCCGGCTTCATACAAGGAAATGGCATGGCCAGTGGGGCTGGAGCTCAAGCCAGGGTCTGACGCCAAGGTCTGTGTTCTTAAGTGCCTCCCGTGCCCCCCGTTTTAGATCATATTATTATTTGATTGGGATTCCCTGTTGGCTCAGATGGTAAAGAATTATTTGTTCTAATATCTGACATTGCGGGGACCACCACCACTCTCAGTCCCTGAAGAACCTTCAGTACATATTTTAACCTACGGTTTCAAGAACGTTTTCACCTAGCGTTAATGTTTGGGGGTGGATTATGGCATCAGGTGGGCTTCCCTGATGGCTCAGGGGTTAAGAATATATCTACAATGCAGGAGACACAGGAGATGCCTGTTTGATCCCTGGGTCAGGAAGATCCCCTGGGGGAAGAAATGGCAACCCACTCGTGTATTCTTGCCTGGAAAATTCCATGAACAGAGGAGCCGGGCGGTCTGCAGTCCTTAGGGTCACAAGGAGTACTACACGACTGAGCACACGCATGTGATGATGATGGATCAGTGCATCGCGTATGGGGCTGGAGGGGAGGGGCTGGCCAAGGTTGGATGTATTGTATGTCACTGTATTGCCCAGCCTCACGCATTTTATCTTTGAATTATGCATTTCCTCTGTTCCCAGGGAAAGGAGGCCCCTCAGGAGGCTGAGATGGTGTGCACGGCCCGCCGCCCCGCGGCGGCCTTTCCGCCGAGTGGAGCCTCGTGGCGGGAGCAGAAGGAGAAGCGGGCGGCTGTGATGGTGGGCATCCTCATTGGCGTGTTCGTGCTGTGCTGGACCCCCTTCTTCCTGGCCGAGCTCATCGGCCCCCTCTGCGCCTGCAGCCTGCCCCCCGTCTGGAAAAGCGTGTTCCTGTGGCTAGGCTACTCCAACTCTTTCTTCAATCCCCTGATTTACACGGCATTTAACAAAAACTACAACAGTGCCTTCAAGAGCCTTTTCACCAAGCAGAGATAAAGCCAGGGCTTGGAGAGGGGAGGGAACTGGACTTTCTTCCCTTCATTTGTGATCTGGGCCAGAGCCGTCCCACCGCTGAGTATCAATGACAGTTGGGAACCATAGCACTTGGGCCTGGACTGCAGGAGCAGCGAAGCCAAAGGCCCTCCAGAAAGACAGCAGGTGGGTGGCAAGCGTGCAGCTTTGCCCTGTCACTGAGTGATGCAGACATTGCTAATCGATCTCAGCACATCTTCCCACCGAGCTGGAACTCAGCCTCAGAATCCTTTCTGGACAGTGCATTTGGCAGTTATTGCTAATTGGCCAGAATTCATGTGGCGCTAGTGGTAAAGAAGCTGCCTGCCAATGCAGGAGATGTAACAGACATGGGTTCAATCCCTGCGTCGGGAAGATCCCCTGGAGGAAGGCGTGACAACCCACTCTGGCATTCTTGCCTGGAGAATCCCATGGACAGAAGAGCCTGGCGGGCTACAGTTCATAGGGTTTCAAAGAGATGGACACGACTGAAGCGACTAAGCACGCAGCATACCAGAGCGGAAGCCGATTTGCTCTTCCTTTGTCTCCTTACCATATTCTCAGCACAGGGCCCAGTGACCTGCTTGGTGGCAGAATGGGTACCTGGACTCAAGTCTTCCTGAATCTTAACATGGGAAAATGAAGGGACACAACCGAAATCTGACTGGACTCCACATTTCAATGTTGGTTTGCGTTTGGTACCATGAGACCCACACATGGTGTAGTGGTTCCACTTGTATTTTTCTACTTGGATTCCAGCAAGGGGCCTTAGAGGGAGAGCCTAGGTGCGGTTTGGAGGAGGGGGCAATGATATTTTTAGGCTTACTCTCACTATTGGATAGATACTTTATCATTGTGTTCATTTGGCCTGGGCCTTTACTTAATGTAAGATCATTATGGAAGCATCCCAGGCAGAGGGAATCATTTACATTGAGTACTTCTTAAAAGCAAGTTGTCTGATGACTAATTTGATGGCAACTTCTGTTGGACCTTTCAGACTTCAACTTTTTCTTTACTTAGGCCTTCCCTGACTACTCACTATAATTACAAAATGCTCAATTTCTGAGACAGATCAGTTCAGTTCAGTCACTCAGTCATGTCCGACTCTTTGCGACCCCATGAACTGCAGCACGCCAGGCCTCCCTATTCATCACCAACTGCTGGAGTCTCCCCAAACCCTTGTCCACTGAGTCAGTGATGCCATCCAACCATCTCATCCTCTGTCGTCCCCTTCCACTCCTGCCCTCAATCTTTCCCAGCATCAGGGTCTTTTTGAATGAGTCAGCTCTTTGCATCAGGTGGTCAAAGTATTGGAGTTTCAGCTTCATCAGTCCTACCAATGAACACCCAGGACTGATCTCCTTTCCGATGGACTGGTTGGATCTTCTTGCAGTCCAAGGGACTCTCAAGAGTCTTCTCCAACACCACAGTTCAAAAGCATCAATTCTTCTGCTTTCAGCTTTCTTTATAGTCCAACTCTGACATCCATACATGACCACTGGAAAAACCATAGCCTTGACTAGACAGACCTTTGTTGACCAAGTAATGTCTCTGCTTTTTAATATGCTGTCTAGGTTGCTCATAACTTTCCTTCCAAGGAGTGTCTTTTAATTTCAGGGCTGCAATCACCATCTGCAGTGATTTTGGAGCCCAGAAAAATAAAATCAGCCACTGTTTCCACTGTGTACTCATCTATTTGCCATGAAGTGATGGGACCGGATGCCATGATCTTGATTTTCTGAATGTTGAGCTTTAAGTCAACTTTTTCACCCTCCTCTTTCACCTTCATCAAGAGGCTCTTTAGTTCTTCACTTTCTGCCCATAAGGGTGGTGTCATCTGCATATCTGAGGTTATTGAGACAGATCAGTTGATGATTAACTTTATGTAAGGATGTACTTGTAATTCCTTTTATTTATTTTTGAACTTTTTATTTTGTATTGAGGTATACGGCTATACCCTAATAAAAACAGTTCAAAAACTATTAATGTTTTGATTTAGTGTCAGGTAAAGGGACGCAGCCATACATATCCATGTATCCATATGTAATTCCTTTTAATACAGAGTATCAGAAATAGAAATCTATTGACAAAATATCAGATTTATGATAAATATTGCAGGAACTTCCTTAAGCCTAGTCTCTGTTCTGCCTCAAATCTCTCTGCCTGTAGGACATGAGGGAGACAAGGCCAGGAGGATGTAACTGGAATTAATCTCATCAGGATTTATTTGCTGATTAAGTTATCACTAAAGGGTCTTCATGTCCAAATCCAGTTCCACAAAGTTCCAGGCCTATAGGGTGGATGTGGCTAACCTAGCAGTTTTTTTTTTTTTTAAATAAATTTTGTCCTGCATAAAGCATGCTATTTTTCTCCCCTTTATCATGGCCTTCACGTTTCTTCAGGCATGTCTGAGGGGAATCTGGATTCTGTCACAACTGTTGTCCTCTGTGGGCATCTCTCCCATGTGTGGGTACCATCCTAGAAGCCTTCTCTTTGGCCCCTGACCTGCTCTCTCCACACTGAAGCTGGATGGTACAGAGGAGTGTCTTTTAAACTCCAGGTCAAGTTGCCATGAAATCAGTTGGTTCTGATTCAGTCAGCTATGTTCTCAACATCTGCCCACAATCGTTGCAGAATCTGACAGATGTATTGCAACAAGCCTCCTTCTCTGCTGAGGTGTCTGTGAGTCGCTGGGATTTTAGTGGTTCAGGTTGGGCTCTTCTGGGCTCAGCTTCAAGCTGCAGGTTGGTCCTCGTCTGCTCCATGAGTGTCTGAACCTCCTCTGGCCAGCAGGGTAAGTTCTTCTCCAGAGAGGCTACAAGAGGGCGAGTCCAATACACAGCATGTTCTTAAACCTTTGCTCCTGTCAAGGCTGCTAACAACCCAAGACCAGGCCCAGCCTGAAGTCAAGGGGTGAGGAAGCGCATTCCACCTGCCAGGGTGCCATGACTAGGATGTCTGCTCTGGGGAGTGAGACTGTAGTATGGAAAAGGTATGCATTGTCTCTGAAAACTTTTGTCCCAGGTGTGCTTCATCTAGATTATCAGTCATTGCTTAGCTGGGCTTCCTGCTGCTACCCCTGCCTCCCCTGCAGCCTGTAGGCAGCATACCACCAGAGGCATCTTCGCTGAGACCTTGTAAAAACCCTCCCATGGTTCCCCACACAGGTCCCCTTCCCACTCCTCAGACTCACCTGCTGTGCGTGCTCCTACCTACACCTTGATACCTGCTCCTGTCTATGCCTGGAACTCTCATCACAATCTACCTATGTGACTCATTCCTTCACTTGTAGCGAGGTTTTGCTTATTAATATTTATTTAGTGCTAAGAACATAGATATCCTAAAGAAGGGGCAGACAATTAAGAAACAGTAATTTTTTCTAAATAGGACTTTCATAATGAAGACACTCATGAGTCAAACCTCTAAAACAGAAAAGCACACAAATCTAGAAAAATGCGAAATACTTTTTCTCTCTTACCTGAATTAACCTGAAGTGAAAGTGAAAGTGTTAGTTGCTCGGTCGTGTCTGACTCTTTGAGACCCCATTGACTGCACAGCTCACCAGGCTCCTCTGTCCATGCAATGCTGCAGTCAAGAATACTGGAGTGGGTAGCCATTCCCTTCTCCAGGGGATCTTCTTGACCCAAGGATCGAACCTGGGTCTCTGCACTGCAGGCTGATTCTTTACCGATTGAGCCACCAGGGAAGCCCTGAATTAACCTGACAACACCGAGATATCAACTTTGAGAGCAATTTTAAAATCATGCAAAAAATAGTACTTGTAGCATTTAAACCATAAAAAAGTATCTGCCTTATATGTGACAAAAATAAAATGAAAGCAAGTAAAAGTATACAATTTATACAATTCAGAGACAACCAGTGTGTCTAAAAAGTGAAAGGCAATTAGGGACAGGAGACACTTAGTAAAGCAGAATGCTACAGTGATGTCTACTGCTAGCCTAGATGAAAACAGGAGACCCTGAACACAGAATCACTGATGATGGATGGATAAAGGTGTAGTATTTCCAATAGGCAGCAAATCACCTGGCCCTCTGGTAAAACCTTCAGAACATAAACTGAACCGAGGCAGTTTTCAGTCAAGAATGTAAAGTTGTATTCTCTGACTACTCATTATAAAATTGCAGCCGTCATGACCATAGTGGACAGTCCTGATCTGTGTCTTTGCTGAGTCAGCACATTGAAGCCACATGTGACACAGTGTGTGTGTTACCTGTTTCTATTTCCCCACAGGAGTATAGCCCTAGGAAAACAAGTTCCTTTGCCTGTTGGGATCCATTCCGAGGGTCTGACCCAGAGCAGAACCTCAAATGTTTGTTGGTTGAATGAGTGAGTGAACAGGGGATTTTTCTCATAGAACAAGAAATATGGAGGCAAGTGGTCCCCAGGTTGGTTTGGAAGTGCGTCATGCCTTCAGGGAGCCAGGCTCTTTTCAGCCTTTCACTCCGCTGAGCTCGGGGTGCTGGGAGGTCCTTTCTGATGCTCTCGAGATGGTGAAGCCTGCTGCAAACCCCTTGCCCTTCCCCAACGAGCTGCCAGAACAGAAGCTCTTCTCTGCCATCTCGAGGTGATTATCAGTGGGAAGGTCTCCTCTGTACTGGCCGTGACTGGGTTAGACATCCATCTGTAAACCAATTCTTGGCAAATAGAATTCATGACTGTTTTTGAAAAGCTGTCATGATTCCCCTCCTGGGGCTGCACACATTGCCACCTAGAGCTGAACAAAATCGGTAAAAACCATCTGTAAAACAAAGGGACGGGAAAGGATTGCCCACGGCAGGTTTCCATGCCAGACAGGTGGGGCCCCCCTTGGACCATGGCTCAGAGGTGCCATCTGCAGTTAGTAAAGCCCCAAAGCCAGGGGAACAGGGGTTGGGCTGTGATCCTCAGGAGACGGAGGTGCCTGTGCAGCAGCCACGGTCTGTCCCAGGATGCCGCCCCTTCACCGTCCAGCCCCCCAGCCCCGTCCCCCACACGGCCGCTCCGCCCACACAGTGGGAGCAGGCCACCCTCGCTGCTGTCTCCCCAGAGTTGTTCTTCCGGAGGAGGAGGCCCCTCTCCACCTCCCTGTTTTCCCCAAGACCCGAGAAAATGAGATCAACTACTTTGGGCTCAAGGACTTTAAATTCCTAAGGAAAGCGGATTTACTGACCAAAAATCTGACATCGAGTTTCTTTTTAAAAAAATGTAAACAAAGTGAAAATTTAAAAACTTTATTTTTTGAATAGATAATACATGTACATGGTACAAAATTCAAAAGGTACAAAACGTAAACCGTGAAAAGTAACCCCCACCCCTCATCCCCGAGGCAGCCAAAGCCTTCAGGATCCTGTGGATCCCCCCAGAGATTCTCTAACTGTGCCCGCACACACAAGTATATATACAGCCACATTTTCCCTACCCTCTTCCTTTTCAGAAATAAACACTAGTAAGCCAAGTCTTTATCTCCACTTAACCATGCATCTTAGGGATCATTCCATGGGAGTACATAGAGAATAGCTTAATATACCATTGTGTGGATTTGCCACAATTATTTAACCATTGCCCTATGCTGGTGGTAGTTTCCATCTTCTTGCTATTACAAATAATGCTGAAATGCAATTCCCTGTATATAGGAAAAATCCTTAGACATAGCATTGCTGACCTGGAAGGTTTGTGCATTTTCACTTTTGATAGACACTGTCTGACTGTCCTCCATGGGGTTGTACCGTGCATACTTCCGCCAACACTGTATCCCAGGGTGCTTCCCACTGCTTGGTTTCCTGTGGCTCAGTCATTTCAGCCAGCCAGGCTACCTTTATGCATGGTTTACTCTGAGCCAAGACATACTCCTGACCTCATCTCTGACAATAATGTGCTCCCTTTGCCCCCCACTTCCCCCATCTGCATGGGGGTGGACCATCTGCAAAAAGTAATGCCTTTGAAACGTCTGAAACCTCAGACACCCTTCTCATCTTAGCTATCAAGGTTACAGTGTAACAAACACTCTGAGACCCTCTAAAGTGGATGAATAAAATCACCCCCTCATTCTCAAGCTAAGCACAAATCAGAAGAAAGGTTCAATCTAAACTCTGCTTATACGAGGATGCATAGCTGCAGTCTGGAGAAGCTATTTTATCCAGCCAGGGCTTCCTGATCCACTCTAGTCAGATGCCAGGGAGACGGCAGAGGATAATACAGGCGACGTCCCTGCCTTTGCCGCTTACACCCGAGCGGAGGGCGGCTCACAGGTGTCGCACAGGACTTAGGGAGGGCGCCGTCAAACAGTGACGTGTGCCGATAAGATGGCGAGCCGGGGAGAGGGCGGTGTGTGGTCGGCTGCAGGCTGACACCGAGGCATCTGCGCGAGCACCAGGTGTCTGGGCAAGCCCTCGCCCTCAGTCTTGGAGGGAGAGCGGTCCGGGCAGAGGCCAAGCAGTGTGAGCCTGGCGCGCCTGAGGAACTGACGGGGGGCTGCCGTGGAGAGCCCATCGTGTCCCCACGTCATCAGGGAGGCCGCAGACCAGCAGCTAACCCCCCAACGTTTCCACACGTTTACTGTGAGAGCAGGGAGACCATGACAGTGTTTTTTACACGGCATTTTCAGCCTATCACCGTGCGCTATGAGACAGAACTGTCAGGGCACATCACACCAGGCCCCTCTCTTGGTCGGGCCAGCCGCTTGGACAGGTGGGGGCCCTCACCCTACGGGGCTCCTCACTGTCCGGCTGAGCCGCGAGTCATGCTGAAGGGCACCAGTGGCCACGGATGACTCAGAGCACTTCCTTCCTCAGTTTCGCTCAAGTCAATTAACCGCCTCTCGGGCTCAGCCTTGGTAACTTGTTGCTACAAGGCCACGTCCCTGATCGCCTGCAGAGGGGGCACCGTGAGGCCGTGCTGAGGTGCCAGGGATCAGGTGGCACAGGTGTGCAGGCCACGGGCCCAAAGTGCCCTCGGGCAGGACTGCTCTGGTCACGGTGACAGCCCGAGGACCCCCGTCTCCCGCGTCTGGTTTCAGGAGGCCTAGGAGCTGCAGGGATTGTCAGAGGGTGAATCCTCAGCCCGGGAAAGGTCTCCTGTCTCCCAGCCCCTCAACCTTCTGGTTTTGCTGGCAGGACATCCAGCTCTCCACAGAACGTGGGCAGTGAACCCGGTTAAAAGCACACCCTGCAGACTCCAATGAGCGCTGAGGCCTGACGCACTTGGGCTGTGCCCATTCGAGCCCCTGACGAGTGACCTCGGCACCTCCCTGGGTGCAATTAGCCAAGCAGTGACCCAGGAGCCTGGACCCAGGCCACGGACGGTAACACACGCAACCCGAGCGTCTTCCCAGATGCCTGGAGGGCGTCAGTCTGTCCTGCTCACAGCAGCTCTGACTCCCGAAGCTGCACATGGGATGGGGGCCCAGCCCAGGCCCCAGCCGTCAGCAAGTTCACTGCCCTGGCCGAACAGGGAGGATGCACTGCTCCTGGGGAAACCTCCTTCCCCTGGTAGCACATGCTTTACAACCGTGATGCATTTGTCATCGCCAGAAAAGCCTGTGGGCTCAGCAGAGCAGCCAGCCATCCTCTGGGCACACAGGACCAGTCCTGGGAGGGCCCCTGACCTCTGAGGCCTGACTATAAAGCACATTTAATGTCCTCTTTACTCACAAAGGCACCATCCGCGCTGTGGGTTATCTGTAGCAAACATAATTCTCAAGACTGGCTTCTGCAGTTTAATTCAAGATGTGTTCAAGGAACAGAAACTGATTTATTATCTTTTTCAGGCCTTATCCCTTAGTCCTAAGGGACTTAAAAATGGAAACAACATCTCCTGATACCTCCCTATACCAAAACCGAATGAAACTGTGGAAACACAGCCCAAAGTCAACACCCCCACTTCTGGAAGACGCATTAGTTCCTCTGGATTAGCCATGCCCAACTTTCTTCAGTCATCCAGAGGAGGGCCACCATGACCCCCAGGAGAACCCATTTCTCCTCCCACCACCTGGGACCACACATGAATAGTCTACCTGCTCACAAGTTGTTAGTTAGGCCTGTGAGCTTCTCAGCAAGATCACCAAGGTGTTTTTCTGAACCTGAGATAGTTCACAGTTCTGCCATCCGTTCCTTCCCTTGCCCCTGGAGCTCTACCTGCACTCTGGCAGCCACTGGCTTCAGCCTCACTGAGTCCTTTCAGAATCCACAGGTGACCAGCACCCACCCAGGTGGAGAAGCACATGGCCAGGAACAGGGCCATCAGCACACGGGGGCGCTGGCAGCAGCCTCCTCACCGGGTGGGCCTCGCGGGGCCAGCACAGAAGCCAAGGGCCGTGGATCCAGCCTGGGATTCTGTAAGTCTGTGCACACCAGCCCTGCTCACCGCACATATTAGGGAACTAAAAACAACGTCCCTGCAGCTGCACACAGCATGCTCACTGCACGTCTCCGCTTTTATGCCTCATAGCCCGAAGGCCTGCCGACTGGTACCTGCAAGGCTGGTGTGGGATGACGTGCAAGCCGTGCTCGTGCTGGGTTCACGGACCCTGAACGACCCCCAAGGGCCGGGGCAGGAGGAGCTCGGTTTGGATGGCCTCCTTCCTTCCGGGTGGGAACGTAAAGCCCTCTGTCTTTCCTTCAAGGCTCTGCAAAGGGTGAGTCTCTGCCCACCTTTCCGGACAGCTCTCTAGGGCCCCCTGCAGAGACCGGCCACCCACCGCTCTCCCAGCAAGCACGGCTTGTATTCTCCCTGCGCTCAAGTTTTAATCACATCCGTACTTTATCCAAAATGGCTTTCCTGCTAATCTCTATTCAACTGTGAGTCCTCCTTCGGATCCAGCCCAACCCAGCTGGCTCCGTGAAAGCCCTTGGATCTCCACACACCTGCCTGCTCTTCCTGCTTGGACACCCTCGGCACCTGCTCATGGCTGGTCCCTCCAGGAGTTACACGCTGGCCTGGAGCGGGGTGACCGTGGGCGAGCCCGCCTCTGGGTCCAGCCCTGACCTGGGCACAGCAGGGAGCATGTGATGTGCTCCCAGTGAGGGGGACGCCCAAGACCACCCAGAGACTGGCTGAGACTCATGGAGAGCAGGCGCAGTGCGGTGTCATTCTTATGTGTCAGGCTGAGGTCCTTTTTTTTTTTTTTTTTTAAATTTTTGGTGAGATGAACTTGGGTGAGTGTGATGAAGCCAAGGGCAGACACGGAGTTTTCATTTTAGTTGCTACACCAGTAAGGTTGCTGACTGGCCCCCGAGGGACCAGGAACAAAAGGCATCACAGCAAGTGAGAGGCCCAAGTGACCAATATTCACGTGGGCTGGTCATTCAGCTGAAAGCCTTGTTTACTAAGAAAAAAAAAAATCCCAGCGGTCAAGCTCTGGGGCCAGTGTCTGTGGCACCCTGCTCGGTGCTTCCTCAGCAGCTGCTCAATTAACATTACTGAACAAATGAATTCCTCTTTATTCAGAGTCCATTCAAATACAGGTACCTTCATATGTGCAACGTTACTGGAGAAATGAAAGTAGAATCGACACAGAGAACAAACACTGCCCACATTTCTTCACTGGAGGATGGGTGTTATCCAAGCCACAATGTCTGCACTGTCCGACCCCATGGACAACAACCACCATGGAGATGAAATGTGAGCAAACAGGAGGAAGAAAATATCCCATGTTGAGATCATCACACCTACATTTCTGCTGCAGTGTCCGGAACCATTTCACCATCTCAGAGCTGATACATGGCGTTTAGACGAAGACATCAATGATGTGCGATGTTGTCTGGGAATGTTCAAGAGGCCTTGGCTTTCACCTTGGACAGCAACATCTCGTTCTTGCGGCCTTCCTGCAGGGGAAACAGAAAGAGAGAGCAGAGACGTGGGGACCACGTTAGCGCCCACCTCTGCATCCTTCCCTGTCCCTGAGGAGGCCTGTGGATCAGTGGACAGGCCTCCTTTTCCATTGCCACCAGCCTAGGGGAGGTTCCTGGCTACATGCTGACCTTCAAAGCCCCAACAGTCTCAAAGACTGACTGTTAAGACTGAGGACAGGAGAGGATTAGGTACTGTCATCCCCAAAGACTTCAATCCCCAAGGGGCAGAAGCAGAAAGCAGACACTTCTCTGCTGATCTTGGATGCCGCCAGTGGGGAGGGGGAAGTCCTGGACACCACGGCCCACGAAGTCCTAAGAGACAGCAGGCGGAGCATGTAGAAGAGCTCTTCCCCCACAAGAGCGAAGGTCAAGGATACCCTCAGCTTAAGAGAGAAACTCACAGCAGACAAAGGGAGAGAAACGTATTGAGGGACACCTCTCCCATAGAGTGAGCTGTAGGAAACCCATCACTGAGGATGCCGCAGCATGTGGACGAGGTCACTGGCCTCGTCCCCTGGGTGCAGAGTCTGGCATCCAGGGTACAAGGCCATCGCTGTGTTGTTCTGAATCCCCTTCTTCCAAAGCATCTCACTGTGCGTCCTCCTCAACCTGCTGGCAGTGGCCTTGACAGCTCAGGATACTTCCGTCTGCTAGCTCATCATGTCCCCTTCCTCCCTGGACTGCAAGGAGCCCTGCTTACAGTGAGAGGTGAGCGCGGAAGGGGAAGGACCTCGAGGGGTCGAACCCGAGCCTCCAGTCACCATTCGGCCACTTCATGTGGAAGAAAAACTGGGTCACCCTTGGCCCTTTCTGCACCCAAGACCCCCAGAGTCCCCAGAGATGTTCCCATCTCCCTGGGCCTGGCCAGAGGCTCCCGCTGTTCTGGAGGCCCTTTGCTCTCAGCGGCAGTGACCCTGGTTCACCTGCAGGGTTTCTGTTTACCTTCCACTCAGAGCTGGGGAGGGCTGAGTGGGCCTGAAGCTGAGTTGCTCTGCCAGAAGCAAGATACTCTGACAGTTTTTAAGCATGTGTTTTTGGAGTGGGAGATAACTTCTGGGGGGTGGGAAGAGAAAGAAGGTGAAGATGGGTAACATTTGTTGTGTTAGAGAAGTTGAGAAGAAAGTTTTCTTATTAAAAATGAGTTATTGAGATCTGCTTGGGGGAAAAGCCTCCAGTACCAAAACACACACACACACACACACACACAAACACAAACACAAAAAACGTAAGTGGGGAGCAGTAAAGATTAATAAAACAGGCAGAGAGGCATACTATTACACTGGTAGACTGCTTTCTCTAGTTCTGTGTGTTTTTGAAATTTTCCATAAGAAAAAGATAAAACAATATAACAAGGAATAAATAAGTTTTAATTGCTATGCACGTCACTTTATGAAGGAGGAAAAAAACAAAAAATAACCCCCAAACAAAAAACCTTGGAAGCATCAAAACTGCTGCTATGGCAAAATCCCCAGTAGGGGTCATTCTTCTCATCACACCACACTGAGACGAGACTTCACGTTTTCAGTAAAGACATTTCAGGGCTTCACACCTGGTGTGAGAGCACTACTTAATTCACGCAGTCTCCTGGAAGCCTTTCAGGAGAGGACAGAATGATATTGTATGTCAGTTCAAAGCAAAGACAGAGAGTCCTTTAGGTCTTTCTCCTAGCGTCTGCTTCTCTTCTGCTGAAGAAAGTATGGGGCCTGTTATGTGCCAGATGCTGCAAGCTCCACTCACTCGAGATTATGTGCCCAAACTCAGCATCATAAAAACGTATGGCTGGCCTTTGTCAGAGCCAGGCAAGAATCTAGCTCTTAGTTTGGGAAACTTGTGAGAAACTGTGCTTTGAGAAACACGATTAGCTGGTGTAATACTGCCCTTAAGGTGTTTTCAGAGTATATGTTTTTTTCCTGGCAGACTTGTTATTAACAAACCCTCCCAGGGCAAGCAAGTCAATGGAATTTTAGAGATAACTCAATGTCTACCCAAAAGGGCCTTGATTCCAGAGGAGGTTGGAGTCAGGATGAGGGCATGACCTAGGCCTGCATGGAGCCCACGGGGTCACAGGAGCTCAGTTAATGTGGAGTCAACTGTACCCCATAAAGTGATGACTGTGGTGGTCAAAGGGAAGCTGTGGAGCCTCAGTGGTAAGGAATTCGCCAGCCAATGCAGGATATGCTGGAGACTCGGGTCTGATCCCTGGTCGGGAAAACCCCCTGGAGAAGGAAATGGCGACCCACTCCAGTATTCTTGCCTGGAGAATCCCATGGACAAGAGCCTGGCAGGCAACAGTCATGGGGTCGCAGAGAGTCAGACGCGACTGAGCACACACACATGCCGAGTGGTGGTCAAAGCCCACGTTCTGGATGACACTGCTCTGCATGAAGAATCACTACTGCCCAGCACGGTGCTGGGACCAGGATGCAGTAAGAATTCAGGGCCGGGGAGAAGAAAACCAGGCAGGTCGGGGAAAAAACAAGCAGAGGAGGCAGAACAGAGGGTTCTGGGAGAAGGTTCCATCCTGGGCTGAAAAATCAGATTTTTCAAACTGCTTTTCTCCCGCAAATGAGATCTTACACGAAACTGCAATATGTAAAATGGCAGAATGACTCTAACTGGAAGGGTGCGGTGGGAGCTAGGAAGCAGCAGGGAAGCCTCCACACCTGCGGTGGCCCCAACGTACCTCAGAGGAGCTTGAAAACAATCTCTAAGGTTTTAGAATGCTAACTCATGGTTTTAAATTTTACCAAGATGATTTAAAAAAAAAAAGCATACACACTGTCACCATCATTTTATAAGAGAGAGGCAACTGTAGTATCAAAAAATAGGACCTAATTTTTTTTTTAAAAGGTGAGTCCTTTAAGTGAAATACATGTAGCCGTCTGCAGCAAATATTACATTCCCCTTCCCCTTTTTCCATCTTGCTTTGGACTGAAGGACACTGAGGCCAGCACCTGGTCTGCTCTGGGGTCTTCATGGGTTCTGAGGGACCCACCTTCGGTCCCTGACTGAGAGTAACTGTGCCAAGGAGGCGGGAACATGGAAATCTTGACCTTAACGTATCTGAGGGAACTGCTTCCTTCAGCGAAGACCCCAGCCTTCACTCCGAGAGCCTGCAGTGTAGTAACGAGCTTTTCCATCTCGCTTTTACTTGCTCTGACTTTGACTCATCCTCCCAACTCACCTGCTTTGTGTTTCTGCTGTCAGATGGCAGTGCTGCTGTCCAAGCAACGCTTACCGTAATTCTCCTCTGGGCCTTCTGTCCTTGTGAGCCACTGGGGAAAAAGACCTCAGGTGGGGAGTGGGGGGTCCCTGTCTACTTCCTGCAGCTCTCTTGCTGGCCCTCTGGCTCCAGCCCCTGCCAACCAGAGGCTCCCAGACGCGGAGCAGCTCGCCCGGTCACTTTGCCCAAGACCAAGTTCTCACTGGGGACAGGCCTTCCCCGACCACACCCGATACATCAGTCCCCTCAAGGCAAAGGCTGGAATGACTTCTGATTTGTTATTACTCATTCATTGAAAAGGATGACACATTCTGAAATGCCTACAGTTGTGGCTCTCAAAAGTTACGTTACAGTAACGGGGAGAAGCAGCAGAGCAGGAAAACAGGGAAGTGAGGAAGGAAGAGAGAAGAGCCACAGGAAACATGTGAGAACAGAAACGCTGGTAGGCAAGGACTTTTTAATTCCATTGACCACACGCCAGGACACAACTACCTTTAGCTTCCCTGCATCTTCAGCAATCTCTAAATTCACTAAAACCACACAGATTTATATTAGGAAGGGGGAAAGAAGTCCTGAAAATAAAGCTGATGAGATCTTGGCAAGCGACAGAATGAAGTCTGCTTTCTGGAAAATCTTTAAGAAAAGTACACTTTCCTTTCTGGAATGATGGACAGTAATTCTGCCCAAATGCAAGAGAAAAGACAGGGATAAACAACATCTGGCAGAGGGTGGGTGTGACGGGTGCCAGACACCCGTGTACACAGTAGGCCAGTGGCAGGATCTGAACCCAAGCCTGGCACACTCACAGTTCACTCCCCTCACACATCGCTTCTCAAGGTCCCTTGCAGCTTAAGATTGGGAGGAAAGGAAATGCTAGACCTGAATCTAACAAACACTGTTTCCAGGTGGCCCTGCGATGCCATTTTACTTGTGAGTTTAATGTGGTTACAGAGTGTCAGGAAAATGAAGTGATGTTCCTTAGAACTGAGTTCAGTTAGAGCTTCCAGATGGGCCACGAAACAACACAATCGTGAACTACTTAGATGCACACTTTACTGTCAGGTCCAATGCTCACTTGCTATTTCCATTTCAGACCAGTGGAAAACCAGTGGAAAACCAAAGAAATGTTCTGGTTTGCAGAGGTTCATCTGGGGGGGATTTGAACAAGAATTTTGCCCAGCCTCAAGGGACCCATGCCCCTCTTACCTCCTTGAACTCTTTCACAGTCTTAAAGTACAGCCTCTGTTTTTCTAACAATTCCAAGTACTGGTCGTTCAACTGGTCTCTTCTCATCTTGTTCTCTTGCTTCTTCTTCTCCATCTGTTGAAACATTTTGGGAAACAGCGATGAAAAGCCATGTTCTGACCAAGCGTGGCTGACAATGTCCAGAAGGAAACTATTAGTAACTTTCATGGATTTCCTTCCAGTAGTTTCCTTCTATGCATCATTTCTGAGGTTGTTTTATTTATCTGCATGATATGGCATAGGAATTATAATCTGTTCAGCAAGTCTCCTACCACTGGGTGTTAACTGCTTCATTTAACTCTTTCTTTGTGTGTGTGTGTTTGTGTAAGCACAATTTCACAAGAAACAGGTAGGCAGTTTCCTGTTACTCAGGAACCTTTCCACAAACCACAAACACCTACTCCATTGTACACCCTGCACCTGCTGGCTCTGGGGGAACCTGTGCTCTGAGGCACAGACACTCCCCTGCCACCGCTATCTAAGCAGAACCCATCATGGTACCCAGATACAGGGGGCTGTGTTTTTGTTTCTTTTAAACAAATACAACAAAAGACATCCAGCCAAATGAGTGCTGTTCTGCAGAGCAGACAGACTTAATCCATTCCAGTGCCAATCAACATTCAAAGTCTACCTGGAACCCTCAAGGAGAACTACTTTTGGACTCAGTGAATTCACTCGTTCAACAAAGAGTTCTCTGGTGTTCACCACGGGTCAGGTGCTGTGCCAGTCACCAGCAACACAGACATGAGAGGAGAGAGCCCTCCCCATTCAGGGACCTGGGCACCCCCCTGGGGCCCAGCCACCTCGTGGGGGGACAGACACAGCGGCAGCCTCCCCTGCTGGCCAGCACCAAGGTGCCTTCACCACAAAGCCTGGGGCAGGATGGAGGGAATGAAGGAGTCAGGCCCATTTCCTTCCTGAGGAATGCTTCAGATAGTAACCGAAAGGGAAACCAAAGTGGGGGAAAAAACCCAGTAACTTCCTCTTGTTCCTTACTATGAGCAAGACTATCTCCCCGAGGATGAGCATAGTGAGTGGAAAGTCCCTGCACTGAGGCTGGGTTGTTACAGGCCTGTGGTTGGCCAGGTTCTCTGCTCCCCACCTCCCTCTAACCCCAAATCATCGAGCAGCAACTCCACTCCCTCCTGCAAGAGAGCCTGCCTGCCCTGGGTAAGTGGCCCCACACATGGACAGCTGCCGTCTCACTTTGCCCTCATTTTTGTGGCTGAATAGTCTTGTCACCAGTGACACTTTTTAAAAATCTTTTGACATGATTTTGTTGACATCCTTAATAAGGAGATGAATATTCTGCTAGAGGGAAAGGGACATGGCAAGCTTTTGTCTGCAGTCCCTCTCTGGTGAGATGGGATTACAGGCAGCCTGAAGGAGTGGATTTTTCGGACAGGTCCTAAGGCAATCCCTTCATGTGTTTACATTCTGGCCATGCTCTCTGGACTGATCCGTCCCAGGACTGTGAAAGGAGATGCCCTGTGTCCCCAGACGGTTTCCCTGCCATGCCCGAGGACCAGGTGTGTGACACATTTCCAGAGTAGGACCAAAAGCAAGAGACATTGGAAGTATCAGTTAGGATTTGTCTGCTGTGGTAGCGGGAGCCTCTGGCTGCATGTCCAGCTTCCCGACCATCAGCAAGTCTTCTTTCCTCCTGACAAAGTGTGCACGCGAGGAGCCAGGGTGCAGAAATGCTCACGCTGCCCCTAGCCTGGACGATTCTCTGCAAAGCTATCTCTGGAGCCCCCACATCCCTTTCAGTTCCTCTTTTCTCTTCTGAGGCTCAGTATCCCCTCACTTTGGCAGAATTCAGCAATGACTTGCATTTTTATAGGGGACTCCTGGAAACTAAAATGCACTTGAGATGTTAAGGAATGGATCCCTGATGGCAGAATGTCAGGAACCAGAGAGCCAGTGAGGATTTGATTCTGGGCAAGAGAGAAGGCCTGCTGGTGAAAGCCAGCTTCCTCATCTGTGAAACGGGAGGAACACACTCACGTAAGAGGACTTCTGGGAGGATGAGCACAGTGCTTGACACTCAGTAGGTATTACACCCACAGAGCTGTTGCTAAGAGTCTGAACGGCTGACGCAGGCAGCCTATGGAGCTGGCCTGCCCATTGTAGGGTCAGAGACCTTAGTGGGACCCCTTGCAGAGACATTGAAGATATGTCTTCAGAATTGAGAGCACATCCCCAGGGCAACTGGAAGAGACCTGCTTTCTCCAGGGCCTTCTCCCATCACCAGTGTAAAACTCAGGCCACATTACAGAAAAAAAGCAATCTGACCTTCATTCGACTTTGCTTAATTCCTTCTACGATCTGTTCCATCTGACGTAAAAACTGGTCCCGGGAAGCAGGGGAGGCCATGGCTCTGAAAGAAAGACCAGCAGAGGTATGACCAGCAAACAGGATTCAAGAAAAGGGGAGGAATCCAGGAGTCGGTCCAGATAATGCCCCAGGAGGCAGACAGGCCTTTGCAAGGCAGGAAGGACCCATGGGTCCCCTGTGATACCAGGCAGCCAGAGATTTTAATTTGTGAGCAAGGCATGAAAATTAGCTTGGTCTTATAAATGAATATTAATCTGTTTTTCCCCCAACCTTCTCTATAATTTTCTTACTAATAGGTACTTTCATAAATAAAATGTGACTGAAATTAACAATTTTTAAAAAATTTTGAATGGTGACAGGTACTGCTTAAGGAATGAATTTCACTTAGTTTTTTTTTTTTAAATCTGCAGATTTAGAGGCACTGATCAAGGCACTGGCTATTCAGTGGTTAAGACTTCACCTTCCAATGCAGTGAGTTGAGTCTGATCCCTGGTAGGGGAGCTAAGATCCCCCATGCCAAAAAACTAGAACATAAATAAAAGAAGCAATACTGCAACAAATTCAATAAAGACTTAAAAAAAAAAAAGGCACTGTTAAGACTGGGAGACATTTTCTGAGATTGTCCTAAAACCAGGCTGGTAAACCTGGTCCTGTTTCCAGGAGCAGCAGCTAAACAAGCGATGACCTAAAACATGCCTGTTCACCTCCAGTCTGCAGAGGGCCTGACATGAGAAGGATCAGAGCACACGATACGAGGATGAGAAGAAATCTTTCAGAGGATGGGCCAAGAGACAGCGGAGCTTCCACAAAAACACTCCAACCTCAGCTTCTCTCAATGATCAGGGGATACAGATGAAGGCATCGTTTTTAGAAATGTCACAAGGCTGTAAGTCACTAACTGAATCTGAATATTAAATGGAGCTGTTTATTTTCAATTAGGAATGAAACTTAAAGTCCAGAGCTTGTAATCCATTAAGATCTTAGCTGCTGGTCACAGCAGAGTCCGTGCTGGTAAGGGAGGAAGTCTTCTGGACAGAGAACCAGCCTGGGGCTGCCTGGATGGCAGACAAGGGGATGGTCATCTTTGAGGGCTGGTATGATCTGAGTAGAGGTGGCCTTTGCTGTTCAGTTTTTAGAAAAAATATTTATATCTGAACACAGTGATTTAGAGCACGCACATGACTTAACTCTACCACCAAATCTGAAAACTATTTAAAAAAATATAGATTATTTTATTACCTAAATTTTATTTTTTAATTTACTTTTTTCCCCAACCAAGGATTGAATCCAGGCCCTCCATGGTGAAAGAGCAGAGTCCTAATGACTGGATGGCCAGGGAATTCCCTAATTATCTAAATTTTAAAGCATCTCTGTGTGTGCAAAAACAAATGTTATTAATCTAATCTTAGTAGGACAAAGGTAATCTACAAAGAAATTATGGTAGCTAAGCACAGTCAAATTATTTGAAAGCTAACTTTTCCCCTAAGTTACTCCTTGGTTGTTTTTAAAATTGGCTGTAATATCATTATGTTTTTGTAAGAACTCAAGGTCTGCATAAACCAAGATACATCTGCACACAGCAGGGGTGGAAGTCTAAGAACCCCAGCCTGGGCCCTGAGCCTTGCTGCACACGGAGGCGAGCCGGCAAGCGCGGGGCGCACGGACACTGATTGGAAGAGAACCGACAGCACTTACTGTGAGAAGTTCTCGTGGATGGAGTTCAGCAGGCTGATCTGGGGAGGAAGGGAGAACAAGAACAATAAGCAGAGGCTGAAAGATGCCTGTGCCACCCCAGCCACTGGAAGCCTGGCGTCTGTCTCTGGATACTGCTTCTGAAAGGAACGCACCTTGCTCATGCAGATGAAAAGTAACACAAAGACCAACGTGTTCTCAGACTCACAGCTTCCCCAGAGTCTCCAGCTCTAGCAAGCATGACCTGTAGCATAGGAGGGCTCTGTGACGGGGCCCAAACCCCCGCTGAGACACATCTAAGCCAACATTAGGGCTCCTTGGGGAAGCTGCACCACTGTCCTTTCAATCTCACCAAACACTGAACTTCATTTTCAGGGCCATCAGCCCAGCGGAGAGTCAGCGGGGGCGGGAAGGTGAGAACACTGTGTCCACGCTACTCCTTCCCACCGAGCTTCAGCCAGTGTGTCTGCGGCCAGGCAGCTCTGAGAGCCTTCACGGGTACATGCCCCACTCAAGGTCCCTCCCCGACAGAAATGCCGTGGCCTGCACACAAGGCCCTTTATCTGCCCTGATGACAGTCCAGGGCAGGGCTCGGAGTCTGGAGTTTAGAAACCTAGGTCATCTTTCCAGCTCTGTCACTGACCTGGCTTGTGAGCCCCAAACTAAGCATTTACTATACTTGGACTCAGGTTTACACTCTGAAACATAGAGATGATATTCTTGTCCCTGACTCCACAGGCATGTTGAAAGCTAAAATATCACAAGTATAAATAGATTTGGAATAAAATGTACAATTTACCCAAATGAAAAGTTCTAACTGCATTAATATAGCTTGGAATTAAAAAGCCCCACCACCCTGCATACTCCTAAAGGAATGCAATAACCTTAAACACTGCTGATGAAGGGAAGTCAAGGGGGTTTAAGGCTTTCTCACAAGGAGTTGGCCTGTTCCTGAGTTAGGGGACAAGTCTTCCCCTTACCAGGTGGGAGGACCCCCAGGTCAGGGTGTGCAGCAGAGTGATCCCCCAGGTCTGATGTGTGTTCAGTCACTTCAGTCATATCTGCCTCTTTGTGACCCCATGGACTATAGCTTGCCAGGCTCCTCTGTCCACAGGATTCTCCAGGCAAGGATACTGGAGTGGGTTGCCATGGCCCTCTCCAGAAGATCTTTCTGACCCAGGGATTGAACCTGTGTCTCTTGTGTCTCCTGCATTGCAGGCAGATTCTTTACCCACTGAGCTATCTGGGAACCAGGTCTGATGAAAATCCCCCAAATGCACTCATCTATTCAAACACTGATCAAATGCTTGTTATGTATCTATCACTGTGTAAGGCCCTGGATAGGGAAAACGGAACCCAACCCCTCAAGGAGTGCCTCTCAGAGGAGAGCAATTGATCTAGTTTGACTGGCAAAAATAGGCAGTCAACAAGGAACTCAAACCTGGGCTATGAAACAACCTAGAGGGGTGGGGCTGGGTGGGAGGTGGGAGGGAGGGTCAAGAAGGGGCGGACACATGTCCACCCACGGCCGGCTCATGCTGATGAACGGCAGAAACCAACACAATGTTGTAAAGTAATTATCCTTCAATTAAAAAAAAAAACAAACCCCAAAACAAAAAATAGACAGTCAAGATAACAATAGCCACAGAGGCTTCCATTTGGGTCCAGGTAAAAGATACATCTGTAACAGTATTCTTATTAAAGAGGTAATTAGTGCAGGTTGCAGGATGATAATGAAATAAAAAAAGATTCTGTCACCTTCAAGGTGAGGGGTAGGCAGGAGCTAATACATATCACTGTGTGCTAGGAACTTCACAGACATGGTCTCATTCATTCTCTATCACTGTAGGATATGTGGTGAGGGTGAGAAGGCGGCCAGACTAAAACCCACACCCAAATGACTCCGGAGCGCCTGCTGCCTCCCCGCCACACTGTGCTGCATGCTGCCCCCCCGCCACACTGTGCTGCATGCTGCCCCCCCCGCCACACTGTGCTGCATGCTGCCCCCCCGCCACACTGTGCTGCATGCTGCCCCCCCGCCACACTGTGCTGCATGCTGCCCCCCCGCCACACTGTGCTGCATGCTGCCCCCCCGCCACACTGTGCTGCATGCTGCAGCTGTGAAGACGCCCCTGCCTGTTCCTAAATCCAGCTGCACACCCGCCCCGATCCACTGCTTTCCACGGAGGGAGCTCCGAATCACCAGCAGATCTGACCTGAGTGAGTCAGAGCAACATGGAGCGGCTGCTCACGCTCACCCCTTCCACTCCTGCTTTCAATTTTACAATTCTTTCAGTTCATGCCTCTGTCCGATGCTGATGACTAAATAGCCATTTCCCCAGGTCAACTCTGATGGCCCACCTTCCCCATTTCCTTTAGTTGGTTCTTTCCTTCATTTAAAGCTCAAAATCGAGTTTCACCAACTCCAGATCCTTCTCCATATGTACCTCTTGTGCTTCCAGTCGTTTCTTTTTGTGATGGTGCCTCTTGCAGGGCACCACACAACTGCTGCCCACTCTGCAGGGTGACGGCCCCAAGGAATCGGGGACTTTCAGACCGTGCACCCAGCACTGGGCACAAGACACAAACTCCTCTATGTCGTCTTCTTTCTATAAGGGCGCTTACCTCTTTCTCCAGATAAACCTTTTTGTCGTCCAGGGTGTTATATAAAGTGAAGAACTGCTTGGTTTCTTTGTGCACTGCCGAAACTGTAATGCAGAGAAATGAGCAAGCACACGGTGAGAAAACGTGTCAATGACCCTACGTGCCCTATCCCTGCTGAGGCCTGCAGGACTGGGACCTGCCGGGCCGGCGCTCACTCTTATTTGTGAGGAAGCCCCATGGGACACAGAGGTCGTGTGGGGGGCTGCTGTGGGCGGACAGCACGTGGCAGCCACGACAGCCCTGCCAGGACAGGCGCTAGAGGACACTCCCTGCCGGCGTGTGGGATGGGGCGTTGCCCTGAAGTCCTCCAAGTGAGGGTCCCAGGAGAAAGGGGGTAGGCATGAGGCAGCCCCATGCAGGCTCTTCCTGTCTGTGTGGCTCCCTTCCCTTCCAGGCTCCTCATGAGCAGGAGCCACAGTCGGCTCACTTTTGTAAACCTCGTGCTTAGGGGGAAAGATTTAACTTAGGGAAGAAACTATTTTCTGCTGAGAAACTGCCACTGTTGACACCCACCCTGATCATCTGAATTAAATGTGAGGACGAAAACATCTGGGTGGGGGGGTAAAACATAAAAGGAAGCACATACGCTCTGAGTAGGGACAGTGCTCCAGCTCGAACTAGGAAGGATGGCTGAGAGGTCAACATCTCAAGGGAAAACTGGGTGTACTTTAGAGAAGACTGGGAGTTTCCCAAGTGGGAACTGTAGGGCCCTGGCCTCCTGGACCTGCAGACCAGCTCACAGGGGTGAGGGACACAGGGACTGCAGGGGCCCAGCTGGCCCAGACGAGGCAGGACTCTGATCAGGATTCTGAAGACTGTCCATCCAGTTACAGGGAGCTATGAAATATTAAGGCTTTTAAAGCAAGAGTGTAAAATGATGACATTTACGTGAGAAAGAGCTCTCAGGCAGGAGTGAGAAGGTGGCTATCGCAGGAGTCCAGAAGAAATGGACATGATACTACTCAGAAACAGAACTGGCAGAGCAGCATGGGTCAGAGAAGACACTGTGTCTAGCCGGACTTGAAAGCGGTCACGGTGAGTGAGCGGAAAGATGGGAGGGAGGCAAAGTCTTGTACCTGCCGAGTCTGAAGTGCCCAGGAGACGTGCAAGAATGGAGCCTGGAGAAGGGGCGGTGGTCCAGGACCTGTTTACTGAGGCTAAGTGAGGAGGTCCTTGACGGGTTCTGTCTAACAGAATGGAGGAAGGGCCCCAGGTGCAGGTAACAGGGGGAGTCAGGGCCGAGGATGTCAACGTCCATGGTGTGCTGAAGAGCAGTGTGTGGCCTGGGGAGGAAGAGGAGGACCGAGAGCAGGAACGAGGCCTCCGGGCAGGCCTCCCAGACTGAGGAGGGTCCTGGAGAGAATGAGCAAGCTTTCCTTCAGGCTAGGGGGCTTGTGAGCATTTGTCACAGGAGAGAAGTGATACAACTGGATGGGTGGATGAGAGGGATTCAGAGAAGGGGTTGCACATCAGTTAATGGTTACTGGGTCAGGATATAAGGAAGAAGAGATATGGCAGAAGCACTGTGAAGAAAAAGGCAATGACAGCCTCGAGGGTCACTTTGAGCCTGATGAGATGTGATCCCTGATTTAAGTTGAAGGATACCCCGTCTTGAATGAACACGATGCTGTTAAAGGCAAGGATCACATGAGAAGAAGGCTCACAGAGAATAAGGACGATGAGTGAGGAGTGATCTAGAGATGCTGGTTCCGTGTGACGTTGGAAAGTGGAGCCCGATGGCCGATGCGGTAGAGGGTGGGCTGAAAGCATTACTCTAAGAGCTCAATCAGGGAGAGGGAGTCAGGGCTCCACAGTGTTGTGCCTGGGATTCTGGGCTACGTGGAATGAGTGGGCCTGATGATGAGCTAAAGCCCTTTCCAGGGCTGGTTTCCATGGACACAAACACGACGCTACAGTGGGTCAGAGCCCCTTGCCCCCTGCCCCTCCCAGGGCCAGCCTCAGGAGCCTATGTGGTTGATGCACCTACTCTGACGGTAGAGTTCAATAAATCTCTTCTGATACTGTATTAGCTCGGCTCGGCTGGGCACTTCATCAATCTTGCGATGCAAAATTGCTATTTCTCGATTTCTTCGAGCCTAAATGCAAAAGAGATGGGGAGACAACACTATTTGATGAAAGGCCTTATTTGTTCCCACAAAATATTGCCCCCACTCACACTGTCCCTGCAAACCAGCCCTGGGATGCAGACACACACCACCAGCTGCTCTGACCCTGACTCCCACGGGCAACAGAGAGAGAAGACGTGGCTGTGAGCTGGTGCCACCTGTGTACGTGTGTGCTAAGTCGCTTCAGTCGTGTCTGACTCTTTGCAACCCTGTGGACTGTATCCCCCCAGACTCCTCTATCCTTGGGATTCTCCAGGCAAGACCACTGGAGCGGGTTGCCATGCCCTCCTCCAGGGGATCTTCCCAACCCAGGGATCGAACCCACATCTCTTAGTCTCCTGCACTGGCAGACGGGTTCTTTACCACTACTATCACCTGAGAAGCCCCTAAACTGGAGGCACAGGAGGCATCAAATTAACAGATCCAGAAGATTCTGAATGGGACGGTACCCCCGGCCAGCCCACCAGGCCCCCAAGGACTCTGGAGCAGCTGATTCCCCAGAGCCAGGCGGGTACCAGAAGTGCTCCCCAGATGACGAGAGACTGATGCCACTCTGCTGCTCCATACAACTTCCGAATCCCTGAGCCTGCCTGAAAAGCTCCTGAAGTATCTTTCTGGCATCTCCCCCTTCCCATGAAATGAACTGGGCTCTATTAGTCAAACTGCTCCTGACTGCTTCTGGGAGGCAGAGCCGTGAGGGTGCAGGGGAGACCTCGGGCTCCGAGGCAGTGAGTCTCATGTGGGCAGCACCGGAGAAGGGGTCCAGCTCCCCGACACACTCACAGCCTCAGTGTTGCCGTCTCCCAGCCACTTTATCACAGTGGCAGATGGGAACCTCTGATTCACGTGGGTGCAAAACCCTTCCCAGTGCAAAACCCACTATCAGCTCTGGTGACCAAACCAAAACCAGGTCTGTGGCTTGAGCTAGAGCAGAGGGACAGATCTATTTCTCCTTTTGGCCAAGGCTATATTCCCCACAGGTGCTTGGGCTCTGACACCTATGCTTCAACCACCGCCCCCCCCCCGCCCCCCACCTCCCCGACCAGGAAACTATAGATACAACCATTCATTCTTTTCACTGCATCTTTAACCTCTCCTTTTCTACTGGTTTCTTTTTACTGGTATTTAAATATGTTGAAGTCCCTCATCCCTTTAAGGCCCTTCCTTAAACCCTGATCAGGGACTTCTCTGTGGCCCAGTCCTTAAGAATCCGCCTTCCAATACAAGGGATGTGGCTTTGATTCCTGGTTGAGGAACTAAGACCCACAAGCCGTGGGGCAACCAGGCCCTTGAACTGCAACTAGAGCCCATGCACCACCATGAAGACCCCGGACAGCCAAAAAAGAAGAAAAGAAAGAAAGAAAAAAGGAAACCAGAAAACCAAGTACTCAAGGGGCTCTGACGTCTTGACTCCCCTCCCCACAAGCCACCCTTCAACCCACGGCCGCTGGCTGCTCCAAACACCCACTGGAAATACTCTCGCCAAGGTCACACAGACTTCTCTGTGCCTGTGGCAACTCTCAGCCTCCAGCTCTCTCCACTTCTGGCAACGCTGAACCTTGTTTCCCCCGAGCCCTCTGCTCAGCGGCCAGGAGACCTCAGACTCCTCTTTCCCTGGGCCTCGAGCTGCCCGCTCGGGTCTCCAGCCTCACTGGTGGAGTCCTCCTTCCCCTCTTCACAGCCTCCACCACCACCTACACAGCGTTGACAGCCAGACCTCCAGCCCAGATTATTCCTACTTGGTGCAGTACCCTAACCTTTAAAAGCCCCACAGAGATCTCATGATCATTTCTCTTCATCGTCCCATTCCCTTCAGCCCTATCCTTTCTCCTTTAGGCTTTTTCTCAGTGAATAACACAAGGATCCATGCGAGTGCCCAAGTCGGAAACTCTCCACCATCTTTGACTCTGCTGTTTTCTCTAACCCATCCCTGGCTCCATCGATACAGCTGCTCGGCCTCTCGGCCACCGGCTCACTTCCATCCCCCCTCACTGAGCCAGCCCTGGCCGGGGCTTCAGCACTGATCCCTGCAGCCCCTTGGCCACGCCCACCAGAACCTGGCCTTCCTTTCCCAGAGAGCGGAGAAGTTCCGGGCCAAAGTGCAACACAAGTGAACTCTTGGCTCTTAAGTGTCCATGAGCCAGAATCTGGCAATGGAAGAGATTTTACAATGCAATTTTGACTCTATATGAATTTAAAGCCTACTTTGAGGCCTACCTTCCCATATCTGATAGCCTTCTCACCACCCCCAACCAATACACCCGCCCCCCCGCTCCACCACCCCAGGTTATCAACTAACAGCTAAAATGGGCACTTAATTTTTGAAGAAAAGTACTTGACAAGAACATTAGACCTTGAATCCTGCCTCCGGCACTTTCTAGCAGCTTGTACTTAACAGATTTGAGTCAATTTCTTCATACAGAAAATGAGGCTGACAGCTACTCTCCAGCAAAGGTGATGATCAAGTCAAGTGAGATGTTGGTAAAATAACAGACCAATGTGAGGTGTTATAACCAACACCTCAATCCAGAGTTACACTCCAGACAGAAGAGGAAATAGTCGCCTTATAACTGAGTCTCTGGCTTTTAGATACTGAGATGCTCTTGTTCTGCTATAGGACATGCAAACCTATTAGATGGATTTATCAGCTCGTGTTTACTCACCTGTAGTAGACGGATCTTGTAAAGTTTCTCTTTCTCCATGTTATACCGTCTGTCTAGGTCTTCCTGAAATTGGAAAAAAAAAACCCTCACAATTATCTGCAAATTTTAATTTTTTTGATGAAATCTTTTGAAGTTGAACAGTTTTTATATATCTCCTTCACTGTGAGGCTCCAAATTTCTTTTTTGAAATGGCTGAGTTCAGGGTTGAGTCCTACATCCTGTGAGACCCTTGACACTCTTTCACATTACTTTGTAACAACTCTTTCTTCTTCTGGGACCCAGGCTGAATCCAGGGTTCTCAAGTGAAGGATCCTCCAAATCCATGTGCCCTTCCCTCCCTTAACAAAAAAACCATGAGGAGGAGATAACTGATATTTAAAGAGCCTGCTGTTCTATGTTGCTGTGTTAGATGATGCTGGCTTGCTTACGTGTCTGTTTAGAGCTGCAATGTCCAATGTGATTGCCACCAGTCACATGTGGCTATTTAAATTCACATTATCTAAAATTGAAAATTATCCAATTTCTCAATTGTCCTAGCCAACCTTCAGATGCTCAGTGACCATACACGGTGGCCACCATATTGGATAGAGCACAGATCAAGAACACTTCCACCACTGCAGAAAGGCCTTTTGGGCAGTATTAAATTCAAAGACAGAAACCAGCCCCTCACTGAACCCAGTGAGGTAAGAGACGTGGCTGGACGGCTCACTGTGCCAGAGGAAGCGACAGGGGCGTCAGAGGCACCCCTCTCCCCCTGTGGTTTACACACACAGACACACACACACAGACACACACACACACAGATACACACACACACAGACACACACACACACACAGACACACACACAGACACACACACACAGAGACACACACACAGACACACACACACACAGACACACACACACACACACACACACACAGATACACACACAGACACACATAGACACACAGACACAAAGACACACACACACAGACACACACACACACACAGACACATACACAGACACACAACACACAGACACACACACAGACACACAGATACACACACACAAAGACACAGACACACACACACAGCACACACAGACACACACACACAGACACACACAGACACACACACACAGATACACACACACAAAGACACAGACACACAGACACAGACACACACAGACACACACACACACAGACACACACACACACAGCACACACACACACACAGACACACACACAGACACACACAGACACACATAGACACACAGACACAAAGACACACACACACAGACACACACACACACAGACACACACACATACATACACAGACACACAACACACACACACAGACACACAGATACACACA